ATTAAATAAACACTTTGTCATACAATCTAAATGTAATGTTTTTTAGCCTTACCTGGTGATTTCAAAGAAAGCTCTCTGGGAAATGTTGACTTACTGTTCGACATGAAGCTAGAAGCTACCTTACAGTACACAGTTGATCCGGAGTCCTGTCTGTTAAAGTGTTTCATAGTTAGCTTAGCTCAGCATCAACCTAGCACTGAAATATATGGATGTTATGTGACAGTATTTCTGAGAAAAAGTCAGCTGAAATGGTGGCATAGTTGCCACTGTGTGTCAACAGCATGTTTGAACGTATTTGCAGCAGTAAATGTGGCTGTTGGGCCCCTGACGTTGCCATAACAACACCTGCATTTCAATTCTATTAAATTCAAAACCTTTATTTATCCAGGTGAAATCCCATTGAGATCAATGATCTCTTTTTCAAGGGAGACCTGCAGCAGTAGGTTCCACATGAAGACATAAAAACATAAACAACAGAACAACAAAATGACATCATACAGCTAAATGTACAGGTATTACAATTTACATATCTATCCACATGTACAGGTACCAACAGCATCTGATTGTGGAGCATCCAACCGAGCTTCAAAAACATGTAGTGGTACCAGATTGGTAATTTTAAATTCTTTTTGCAGACTGTTCCAAGTTAGTGCTGCACATCTAAAAGCTTTCTTCCCTAAGACAGTCCTAGCACTTGGCACATTTAATAAAACCACAGCATGCGATCTCAGGCAGTAACTACTTTCAATTCGCCGAGAGATCAGGGAGCAGATATAAGATGGTATAGTTATCCAACATGGCTTTGTAAATTAAAATGTACCAGTGACTGAGCCTCCGTACACTAAGTGATGGCAAAACCGCCTTGGTATACAGTGTACAGTGATGCGTAAGTGCTTTACAATTTGTCAAAAATCTCAGTGCACTGTGATACGCAGCATCTAACTTGCTCAGGCAATCGGCAGGTGCATTCATATATAAAAAATCACCATAGTCCAGCACAGGTAAAAAGGTCACAGTGACTAGCCTTTTTGCCACCTATGCAATTCCAAGTATTCATGCCCAAATGTTAAAACATGTTGTTAAATATACTTTCCCTTTGACAATGTGTAATTCAAGTTGCAGAAAAAAGGGTTTAAAAATATTATTGGAATTTCTGAAATGGCTCTCGTGTACCACCTAAAAAGAGGCCTTTTTTTCTTGTCCATCCTTCTTGGTGAACAACTTGCATGTCAAATAAAACATTTAAAACAGGCTTTTATTTGTTTTCTTTGCTATTATCTTGTTGATACAGTATATGTCTCTTGTAATGGTAAAATAAATCATAAACATATTTTAAACAACAGTAATTGAATTGATGGCTACTGCCATGGGTACTGTGTGTACTGTAAGTCCTCTCTTTTATTTTCATATTTTTCTATTCTCTCAGTCTATAACGAGTGTGGCAGTCAAACAAATGCAACCCTGTTCCTCATATTATCAGAATAAGATAAGTTTGTTTCAAAGTTATCTTTCTTTTGTTTGTCCTTGTCTTGAAAGTAGTAGTAGTAAACATTCTGCAATTAGCAATAATTCCTGAGGTAAAAGCTAACATTGGCATTGATTTGCAAACCTGTTACTATAACCTGGTTACAGTTCAGTTACAGGGTTGCATTTCCTGAAAAGGAAAATCCAGAAAATTATAAAATTAAAAGTTTAAAAGTTTCTTTCAGTAGTTTTGCTGTCTAAATTCTCCAATTCTCGAATGATCCAATAGTGACAATGTTATTTACCCAGTTGCATTGCATTTCCAGTGTAACATTACCCCTCCAGGTCTCTCTGGGCACACTTGGTCATTATTTGAACTTCTCAATAAGTTTACAATGTTTCTTATTCCTCTTATTCCTATCATGTTTAACACTGTTGACATAACTTCACATGTACTATACTGTGCAGTAAACGTACCTTTTCCTCCTTTCATACAATTTGATGTTATTGAGGACAGTATAATGTAACAGTGAATCTACTGTTTTACAGGTGAGTGACCTGAAGCTACTGTTGGAAGCAGCATCACTGTCAGACAACCAGCTGACACCGATTCCGAATCATGCATTTACCCAATTTATATTTAAAAATATTGTCTTTGAATAAACTGTTTTATTTTGAAGGAGGGTTTTGTCATTTTTTCCTTTAGAATTAATTATCTTGTAGGATTCCTTTAATATAACACGTTCTTTCATAAAAACTTTATGTGATGACACTGTTTTAACAGGTGATATAAAAAATGCATGGGTAATGGATTAAAAATGTCCTGTTCTGTTTAACATCCTGACAGAATGTACTAATTGTATTCCCTAATTACAGGTAGTAAATACTAATGTAAGCACAACACATTTATCTGGTCCACAGTCAGACATGATTACAGTGTTGACAGGTTACAGCATGAATTATACAATGATGTTTAAAGCATTTCAATAGGCTTTCAAACAGATCATATGCAGCTTGGACACAAAATATACAGTACAAATTTGGCAATAACTGTGAAAGTAAAAGATCTAAGAGTCTATGAAACATGAAACAACAACAGACAGTCTACCAGCAGCTGGTACTTAAATTATTCAGCTGTAGTAAATAAGATCCGCTTTCATAAATAATAAAGACTGTTCCAACATGTTGCTAACTTTACAGTAATCAGTATACTTCTGTTATAACTTTGGTTACTTAAGTTAATCAGCTGTATTGTTACCATACCTGAAATAATAATAATAATAAAAAGCTCTGTAACTCCACACAACACAGGCTTTCTTCCTCACTGGGTCTGCTGTTCGCTCTCCCTCTCACTTGTCCCTGTAAGACACTTAAAACACAGCACTGATAGCGGTTCACACTGTTTGATGACATATACTGAGCAGAGAGAGCTAATAGCTTCAGCAAAACTTACCCACGAAAATCGCTGCAGGTCTGGGTAATATAAGCTTGTGTGTTTCGTATGTAAGATGTGTGCAGGGTGATCGAGCTGCTGGACCGTCTGCAGCGGAGTGGGGAACTGCCTCCTCCAAAACTGCAGGCCCTCCAGAGAGTCCTGCAGAGCAAATTCTGTGCTGCCATCAGAGAGGTATGGATATACAGCGGTGGGTGAGGGGAATTCTGGGGCCAAAATACTGGAGTGCTCCAGCCCATTTATTTACACATCTTACACATAGTGTTTCCTTCCTGATTAATTGACAATAGGCAATAGGCATATCTACATTGTATCATCACGTGGCCCAGTGTAGGTATATTCTGATTCTTAGCACCACGGTTGTGTTTTCCTTAGTCCCGATGAATCGTTCAAATCTTTTGTGAACCCCATTATGTGCTTCAGTGAAGTTAAGGAACATTTTATAGGAAAAGACATAAGTTTGGTTCTTTTCACTATTCAACAGCAACCCTCAGCTCTGTGTCCAGCTAAAGAGAGATGTGAGCAGAAGAGGCGGGGAAGTGACTTAAGGGGAGAAGAGTCAAGGCGACATGCATTTAATGAAATGTTTCCTCTGAGCGGTCATTTTTAAAGTGACATCAATTACATATGACAGGAGGCACAGTGGCATCAGCATCAACTGTCTTGGTTTTGTTATACAGCTGTATTTCATTATCTCTGCCAGAGCATAACAGTGTTTATGGCAATTTATATATTTACTTTTAATTAAATTCACAAATTGGCTTAATGTGACAATCTACAGTCTACAGAAGCAGCCAGGCGCAGGTTGATGTGACTGAGTGGGAAATCTTGGCTGTTGACGTGCTAAATAACAACATATGTAAACCGTTTCAGAATCAAACAATACATTTAATAATCAGAGCACTCACATAAAAACTTGCTTTATTTGCTCCTTGGAATGCATTTAAGGAATTGTGGGAAATTGGTCAACTTTTTGGTCTCAGATGTTTCTCACCTGTTTATTCAGTGTATTTCTCTTAACTACATTCATATGTTGGTCTGATTCCTCTGTAATCTGCTCGCGGCCCCTCAGGTATATGAGCAGCTCTATGACACTCTGGACATTGTTGGAGGACCAGAGGTGCGAGCACAGGCAACTGCCAAGGTATTACATGCAAACTAATAACCTTTTAGTTATGAATAACTTCACTATTGCACAAACGAAATGTCATAGAGACATAAGTCCTTATCTTTTTATAAATATACTCTCAAGGAGGTGTCTTATATGCATGTGATTAAATTCTGTTATCATTCCTCTTATTCATATGTTTTTAATTCAGAACCAAACCAACTGCAGCTTTTGGGATTAAAATAGTCTCATACTGTATTGTAATGCTCACAGGGAGCGGCAGGACTGAACCAACAATGCAAATACTGAGACTTGGGACTTGGAAAAAAGTGATCAGATCGCTTGTGTAAACTGGCTTGATTTGGGAAACATGGAGGTGTGGAGGATTCTCATGGTCCTAGGGAGCTTGAGGCGAATAGCAGTGGGGTTAATAATCTTTTCAACGATGAAATGAATCGAGGGACCATTTTTTTTTTTTTATCTGTACGAAGTGGGATATTTTGGAAGATAACCAAACTGGCTGACCCGGGGTGTACTGGGGAGCAGCACGTCTGTGGCGATTAGCAGATTGATGATTTCTGGCTGTTGTCTGAAGGAGAGCCGAGCTTGTGTCCTTCCAGATCTTACAGCAAAGGTGGATGTGCAGTTTGACAGAGGGAACTGCTAATTCGACCTCCTCTTCAGGAACAACCCAGTCTCACGGCATTTCGTGTTATAGTCACAACATTTAATCTATTGATTCGTGTTCACCACGATTTTCCCCTTTTTTCGTGTCATCCAGAACGATTTTAAAAGCAATGTATTTTGTATTGGTAGTATGTTTTCTAATCAGCATCTTGATATGCGACACCTGTGAGGTGGATGGATTATCTCGACAAAGAAGGAGTGCTCACTAACACAGATTTAGACAAATGTGTGAACAATATTTGAGAGGAATAGGCCTTTTGTTTCCATAGAAAAGTCTTAGATCTTTGATTTCAGCTCATGAAAAATGGGAGCAAAAACAAAAGTGTTGCGTTTATATATTTTTTGTTCAGTGTAGAACCAACAACTCACTTTGCAGCGCCTCATTTGACTGAACCGCCAAACTATGCAACATGCCCTTTGCACACCAAAATACAGCAAACTGAATTGAAGATTAGGAAAATACCAATCAGAGTGCTGCTGACAATCTTTATCTTCATTCAACACAGCTTTGTGTGACACATTCTGCAACATAACTGGAGATTATGTTGCAAATTGTGTCACAGTATTTTATTTTTTATAATATGAAACAGATATTTGATATGGGGTGAATTGCCTTAATGTGGGACCCTCCCTAATGTGGGACACCTAAGCTCCAGTGGGTGTAGGTCTTCCTCAAACAAATGAGAGTCAGTAGGCTTGTTTGAGATGAGCTGCGGCTCGCCTCGAAAGTAGATGAGAATATCCGATTGCAGCCGGGGGAGGTCTCAAAAAGCTCGCCTGAAGTCGGACAGCTCGGAGTCGGCTTGACTCGGTTTGCAATGGCGGAAATTGCGCTGGCGTTCTTCGTTGCAGATGAAGTGGATGCAATACAAATACCACAATTATTATATCACTACAAATTAATCACTCAAGTGTCTGTTCATTTTAAAACAAATCAATACAAGGGGGGTTGAATCCTACATGTAAAAGACAGAACCACTTATTACTTTTCAAAACTACTTCGTCAGTGGTCTTGACCAGCTTGCATTTATAAAGAATGCACAAATGTGTTTAATCGTTAATGTCGGATATGTACTAAGTAAATACATTTGTTCCTGCTCAAGATTAGATTCAACTTTATTGTTATTGCACATATTACAGGTAGCCTACTGAGACAACGAAATGCAGTTTAGCCTCCAACCAGGAGTGCAACAAGCAGTAAAGTGAAAAGAAATGTACACAATCTACAGAATAAAAGATAGAATGAATTGAATGATGAATAAACAGTGAGGGGTATGAATACACTAGATATATACACAGCAGCCTGTGAGCAGTATGAACAGTGGGTATGAATATGCTAAGATATATAAAGTATGAAAACGGTAAGCAGTGCAAGTAGTATAACATATATAGATATTAATTTCATGATGATAAACATTGTGGAACAATGATGACAAATATGAATGGAAGTGGCGACGTAAAACTGACACAAAACAACAACAAACTTTTGCCGAGCCAATGGAGAGTTTCATCAGCAGCACGGGGTAAAAACCACCAATGAGCGCTCAGCTCGAGATACCAGCGAGTCATTTCCCATCAAGCATTTCGCTTCCACAGCCTGTGGAGAGGAACAGCCGCGCCTCGCTCTCAAGGCTGGGGGCGTCTTTGTCCCGCGAGATTTCAACGTCTCATGCAGTCGAGCCTCCAGAGCAAGTCGGACAAAATGATTAACCATCATGCAACGCACTAGCAAGACGGCGATCGCAATTGCGCAGGTCTGCGTCGGTCTCGCTCATCTCAAACAAGCCTAATGAAACTGTGATGTCATGTGATCAAAATCACATGACTTCTCAAATGTCCAATCACAGATGAGGGTGGAGCAACCTTCAAACAGGAAGCACCCCAACAAAAAATTTCCCACATTAGGCTAAATCACTGTGCTTATCATATTGTTGCCTTCCTGACCAGGCCACAGTGGCAGCCTTTGCAGCCAGCGAGGGCCACGCGCACCCAAGGGTAGTGGAGCTGCCCAAGACAGAAGAAGGTCTTGGCTTTAACATCATGGGGGGCAAAGAGCAGAACTCCCCCATCTACATCTCCAGAGTGATCCCTGGGGGGGTGGCCGATCGCCAGGGAGGGCTTAAGAGAGGAGACCAGCTACTGTCCGTCAATGGAGTGGTAAGAACAACAAGTAAAAGAGGCAAAACTGCGAGGTATAACTTTCATCATAACTAAACACGGTCAAATTGATAACGTGAGAAAAACAAGGAAGGCGGTGTTGGTTGCATGAGGAGTTGAAGAAGTTACACCACCAGATGTCCCTAGAAATGTTTTTAATGCATTGGTTCTGTCTGAGCTTGATTTCTGTTTTGTAATTCTGTACAGTGCTTCAATGAAAGATATACAAAAGTTCAAAAACAATCTGTAACAAAAACAAGGTTCATTTTACCTAAAGTAAAAATGAATATGATACAGAGAACAGTTATGTACAGAGCCATGGCCATTTGAATTCAATGCTGGTGAACATTATTCAAATCAACACAAAATCAGTTCAAACCTTTGTGAAAGCAATGTCTATATTTCAGAAAATTACAATTCAACTGTGTCTGTTTGGCCAAATGACGGTTAAAAGGATGATTATTTTGTTTTCACTTCTGTACTTGATAGTTATTCAATGAGGTGAGTTGTTTTGTGTGTTTATGTTTGTTGTATTTATGTGGATAGTGTGTAAATGTTTTTTGGACTGTGTAGACCCCAGAAGTAAAATAGACATACAGAAGCTCAGGCCCACTGTGAACTTCTTGAAAACCACCTTTAATTCTGATCAAGAAATCTGAGTTGTACATCACCAGGTTGGGAGTTTAAGAAATAGACCCCACTGTTACAGGGCTCTTTTTAGCTTTGGCATTATCATTGGGCTGGGGGTTCCTACCTGTCCAAATTTCAAAATGTCCTTCGTGACCCTGATGATCAGGCCAGTGCTAAAATGTATTTCAAATAAGTTATCACTCTTCCTCTTATCAAATTAGGCCAAGGCTTGGTCTGTAAAAGGTGTTTTTCTGGAGCCACAACCCCTCATAAAGAGTTCTCAAAATAAAAACATTGGACCATAGTTCAGTTTACAAGGCTTCTAACAAAATACGTAGATCTGTGCTTGTAAGAGTCTGCTAAAGCTGAGGTCACTGACACAACTTCCTGTATGCAGAGTGTTGAAGGGGAGCACCATGAGAAGGCTGTGGAGCTGCTGAAGGCGGCGCAGGGCTCAGTGAAGCTGGTGGTCCGCTATACCCCCAAGGTCCTGGAGGAAATGGAGGCTCGCTTTGAGAAGATGAGAAGTGCCCGCAGACGACAGCAGCACACTAGCTACTCGTGAGGCTGTTAACACATGCACAAACAGGGGGCACATGCACACATTTAGGTTGAGGTTTGTCTCTAATTAATGACCAGCTTCCTGCTAATTATACCGTGTCATACACAGCTAGTTGCTAAATTCCTCAACGACTATATTTTTTAACATTATTATTAAAAAAAGATTTGATTGATTTAAAAATGATTTTTGTGCTTAAGGTAAGAAAAAAATGACCAACTTCAGCGACTTAACTCTAAATGACGGCAGTGCTGATCGAGGATTTAAGTAACCATCCAAGTCGGATTCGTAATAACTAACTGTGGCTACATCTCATACTGCTGTCTTATTATTGGTTTTGCTTTTAAAACGTCAGTAGCCACCAATGTCAGTGTAAATAATTTGCTACTTATATCAAAGCACTCAGTGGCAATTTTGAGTGGCAGGCCATGGATAGCGTTTCGGCATAGTTAGACACAGCCAAATCATTATTTAGTAAGAAAGTAATCCGGGGCCTTTCATGCGTCCTCAAGATTGAGTAACCGACGCTGTTGTGTGGGCCCTAAGTAGATTGAAAAGCAAGTGAAGTTTATTCATATAGACCAGGGATGGGCAACTTTGATGGTGGTGGGGCCCACATAATGTATGTACTGGCCACCAGGGGGCTGCATATTCACTTGGAACACACACACACACACACACACACACACACACACACACACACACACACACACACACACACAAATTCCATGTATTGTATTAATTAATAACTAATAA